CGCCATCCTGGCACCTTTGTTTATGGTGGATTTTGGAAATCCACAAGATGGATGGGGGACATCCAGTGGAAGTTTTTTATTATTATTGATTCTCCGAGATGCGTTGGACCTCTCATGCACTCATGGCAATATCTCAATATACACACAAGCAGATTTCTTATTATCTATTCTTATTATCTATCCTCACCCTACTATAAATTCAAGCTCTGTTTAGTTTCATAAAGATCAGAACAAACGAATACTTGCAGAGAGTTCTCATTGTAATTGCTTTCAATTTGTGCTTTCATTTAGCCGCCTGTGTGTCTGTGGCTCCATTTATTTACAGCCCGGATCAGCTGTTTCAGGATTTTAAAATGCTCACATGTGCTGGAGCAGTACACACCAGGATATGCAAACAAAATCACGTGTTTTCCTTGACTGCAGGGATATACAGTCATGCGAATGTGAGCATTTTTGGCTGAAACTGGGTTTTAAGTGCACCTTTTTCATCTGATAATCCAAATTAGCACGCATTTTGTGACTCCTTTTAATCTCCGTTTCTTCTGTGTTTTAGGGCATGCGTAGAAGGACCCTTAATTTACTTTTGTATGTGTGTGAATCACATCATTATTTGTTAAATTGAAGATTTAATATACCAAAGTCTTATCTTTCGGAATATGATAGGTCTTTGAAGATCCAAATTCTTATTGTCACTGAATCATGAAATTCACAGGGTGAACTTAGTCTTTTCACTCCATCTATCACACGATGACATACTTCATACATCCGAATAAAGCGAGAAATAGGAGAGTCATGCATACCACCTCGAGTTCATAGAAGAAATATATTACAGTATAATGCAATTTTACAGGTAGTTCAATGCATTCCAAATGAGTTACAGTCCTTCAAATTTTGGGGTATTACTAGGAGTGTTTACGTGACCATAATGTCTAGATGGTAAAAGTAAAGGTTTTCCCTGACATTACATCTAGTCGTGTCCGAATCAGGGCAGGGGGTTTGGTGGTGGTGTTCATCTCCATTTCTAAGCCGAAGAGCCAGTGTTGTCCATAGACACCGCCAAGGTCATGTGGCCAGCATGATTGCATGGAGTGTACCTAGGCGGTACCTTCCACTTATCGATCTTCTCACATTTGCATGTTTTTGAACTGCTAGGTTGGCAGAAGGTGGGCCTAACAGCAGGAGCTCACCTCACTCCCTGGATTCAAACTGCCAACCTTTTGGTCAGCAAGTTTAGCAGCTCAGCGGTTTAACCTGTTGTGCCACCAGGGGGCAATTAAATTATTTTGAATAAGTGTTTGGATCACTTAGCATTACATAGATTGAATGTTATTCATTTCTCACCCCTAGTAAATAAATAAACTTTTCGGACTGGTAAAGCTCCCGCCACCTATCCACCCTTTTCAAATGGTCAGAACAGTGGTATTCCCTAGGATTTTCCTGAAGTTTGGGGAGGCAATCATTCATGTCATGTGGCCAGCATGACTGCATGGAGTGCCGTTACCTTCCCACCCAGGTGGTACCTATTGATTTAGTCACATTTGCTTATTTTCAAACTGCTAGGTTGGCAGAATTGGGGCCTAACAGCAGGAGCTCACTCTGCTCCCCGGACTCAAATCACCAACCTTTCAGTCAGCAAGTTCAGCAGCTCAGCAGTTTAATCTGCTGCACCACCTGGGGAGGGGGGGTAATGTCTAGGTAGATACACTTTAAAACATATTGTTTTTATTAATTAGACACATATCAATTTCTTACTGTACTGACATGGTAAACATTTGAATTGCTTTTTGCAGGGACATCTATTTTAACGCAAGAACAAGAAAATAGCTCACTTTAAAAATGACTAAAAACATCAATCTGTTTTGACAGCTGTGAAAACATAACGTAGAAAGCCTTGAGATGATGTGAGAATAGTTCTTAGTTGTATCCACCAGAGAAGAGCAGCAAGCTACCAGAGAATGGGAAGGCTCTGCTTTTTATTATGAGAAAACCAGCAAGTTCTCTGCCAACAGTTCCCATGGGCATTTTATATCTGAGCTGGTCCTTGCACATTAAATTCATTCAGCTTCTTAGTTTTATTCAGATAGATGAACGTCAAAGCTAAACCTTTCTCTCRCCCCRCCCCCCCCCCCCCTTTCTGCAGAGGAAGGCCCTGCTCTATTAATGCCAATCATGATATGACATGGATTCATATCTCTGTGAAATCAAGTTTTGCAGCAGACTGAGATTTTGCAACTATACATTACTGGAAAAGAAAAACACAATTTGGGAGTTTTGTGGGGTTTTTTTACAGGAAAGAATACTAGAAATCTTCCATGGATTTATTTAGTATATCTTCAGAGTACTTATTTCCTGTACTCTTCCTGATTTGCATAATATCATCTACCTCCATTTGAATATTTGATATAAAGGAAATGCCTTTAGCGTATACGTAGGAACTTAATCTTAATGATGGCAGAGGCGTTTGCATCAAAATGTGCCTTTCATTTGAAAGGTCCTTACTGTAGGGGAATGAGCAATAAGTGATGTGTCACTTAGGCAGACTTTGAAGATGGAGATGGCTTCTGTAATTTTGAAGGATTAGCATTGGATTTATTTCCCCATCATCGTAGGCGCTTGCTTAGCTGCCTCTGGTTTCTCTGATAAGCAGGCCTCAGAAAGGGCCTTTGTAACTCATTGAGTTACGTGATCTAGCTCTGCTGTCGTCAGGAGTGGAGCACTGCAATTGTTCCTATTACCAGAAAGAATAACAATTGTCAGATTCAAAATTATAAATCAAAGTTTTAATATCCAGGGGTTTTCTTTTTCAAACAAAGGGTCAAGATGTACAATTTCTACACTGACAATCCTTTCCAGTTGCATTGCCAACATTTGTATAAATCATTCGGCTTTTGATTTTTCTGAAACATCTGTAGATTGAACAGTAAGCTATTAAGATGTAGAAATATGATGGGCCAAAGAGCATGGGCATAGAAACAGTTCTGTATACATTTACTTTCATAAACACACATAGAAGTCTTTTCTTTTTGGGGGGCATTAAACAAATTGGATAGTCATCTGTCAGGAGTACTTTAGCTGTACATTCCTGGATGGCAAGGAGTTGGACTTGATGACTCTTGTCCTTTTCAGCTAAGTTTTATGATTCTTTATTATCAGCCTTGGACTCCACTTTTTAAAAGTGACATGAAATCTGCCTGGGTTCCAAATTGGATAGAATATCAGACAGTAGTTTGTATGTAAGATTACATTATTTAAATGCAAATAGTAGTTGCTGGGGATAGAGGCTGATAGTTATTAGAAATTCAGCATTTAGAGAGAGGTGAACTCCTGTTGCTGTTCCAAAAATCCAAACTTTAACTTATCAAGACAGCTGGAGGCAACTGGGCTGATAGTTGGCTAATTGCAGCATTGTTAAAGCATTGTTAATGGAATAAAATATGTGTGCATATCTACACAGACTTTGTATTTCTAGGTGCAAAGATTACTGCAAATGCAGACTGCAGCCAGGAAATCAGATGCGTTTACTTCTTCACTATTTTCTTGATAAAATATTGAAGAGTAGAGACATCATACTGGCAATGAAGATCTGCATAGTCAAAGCAATTGTATTCCCTGTAGTAATCTATGGATGTGAGAGCTGGACCATAAGGAAGTCTGAGCAAAGGAAGATAGACACTTTTGAACTGTGGTGCAGGAGGAAAATTCTGAGAGTGCTTTGAACTGCAAGAAGATCAAACCAGTCCATACTTCAGGAAATAATGCCTGACTGCTCATTGGTGGGAAGGATATTAGAGGCAAAGATTAAGTATTTTGGCCACATCATGAGAAGACAGGAAAGCTTAGAGAAGACAATGATGCTGGGGAAAATGGAAGGAAAAAGGAAGAGGGGTCGACCAAGGGCAAGATGGATGGATGATATCCTTGAAGTGACTGATTTGACTATGAAGGAGCTGGGGGTGGTGACGGCCGACAGGGAGCTCTGGTGTGGGCTGGTCGAGGAGGTCATGAAGAGTCAGAAGCAACTGAACAAATAAACAACAATCTATACAAATGTTGACTCGATCACACCAGACCTGAAATATTGCCTGAGCTAGATCAAGTGGATTGCATGGAAACAAATGTTAATTTAGATGAAGTGGTGTCAGCCCATGCCTGTATTCTGATCTATCAAAAAAGTTCTAAGCAAATCTGACCTGATTTTCTTCCCAACTTCAAATCTTTACCTTTATATTATTATTATTAATAATAATAATAATAATAATAATAATAATAATTTTGTTTATATCTCACTTTTTCTCTCCACAAGGAGACTCAAAGCAGCTAACATTAAAAGCAATACAATGCAATGTAAAATATACAAATATTAAAACAGTATTAAACATCCCTAGTATTAAAAACAATTCATTTAAAGCCATAAAAACATTTAAAAAAACCACAGCAGTAGGAGAGGACTCATTCTACAGGAGAACTGATTTACTCCAAGTCAAGCTTGGGGATCATGAAATGAAAGAATGAACAACAACAAGCTTGGGGAACCTGTGGCTATCCAGATTTTAGACTTCAGTTTCCATTGGTAGCAGCCAGACTAGCCAACATTGAGAGATAACTGGTTTCGTATTTTATCAGTATGATTCTAGAGGACCGCAGGTTCCCTACCCTAGCCATAGGCAGGCAACAGATTTCTACTGCCTACTGTTGCTGGTATGGAATGGATAATGAAAGCAATACCCAAGGTGTAAGTAAATCTCAGTTATCTTTCGGACTGAGTGTGGAGCAAGGCATGACTAGTGAATGATAGAAAAAGGTAATTCAACCAGCATTAAGATGCTTTGGACTTTATTTCATGAAGGAGGCAAACTGTCATCTTTGGCAACAGTCCCTATCTCACATTGTCATGCATATCCCTTTGTCAGTGTGCCTCCATACCATGCTAAATTCATCCCTCACTGTCAATGGGAATACAAGCCAATAGCCACAGAATATACCATATTCCCATCACTTACCTGGTGCAACGAGGTGGTTCCACCTCTGTGCCAACATGCGTGCACAGCAGTGATGTCAGGGGAGTAGGATTTTCTTCCTCCTCCCCCCTCCCTCCCACCTTCTCGGTGCTATTCCAGAGGCAATAATTCTTTAAAGCTTCATTTGTAACTTTAAAAAATAACCTTAGTTGGAATTTTAAAATTACTTTTAAAAATATTTTTAAAGTTGTGAGACAGCTGAAATTTGGGATGGTGAAATTTCAAGATTATGTGTTATTTTGTTGTACCCAACATCACCTAATAGTTTTCCATGGGTGAATGGGGATTTGAACTTTGCTCTCCAGAGTCATCGTCTAACATTCAAACTACTATACCCCTCTCCCGAAAGGGTCTCAGGGTGGTTTACACATAAAAAGGCAAATATTCAATGCCTCAAAAAAGTACAAACACATTTTTAAAAATACAGAATAATGCACAGTAAAACAGTGAACTTACAATGAAGAATTAAGCATACATAAAAAATAAAACAGAAACAATCCAATAAATCATAATAAACTAAAACATGAGTAAACATTAAAACATAAACCCTGAAAGCAATTAAGATAACGAAATGGCTTATAGCTACCCTAGTTCTTTAGTGTATTCTTCAAAGGCCGGATGGCTCATTCTAATACAGTGGTTCTCAACCTGGGGGTCGGGACCCCGAGAGGGGTCACAAGGGGGTGTCAGAGGGGTCACCAAAGACCATCAGAAAGCACAGTTTTTTTCTGTTGGTCATGGGGGTTCTATGTGGGAAGTCTGGCCTGATTCTATAGTTGGTGAGGTTCAGAATATTCTTTGATTGTAGGTGAACTATACATCCTAGCAACTACAACTCCCAAATGTCAAGGTCTATTTTCCCCAAACTCTACTAGTGTTCACATTTGGGCATATTGAGTATTTGTGCCAAGTTTGGTCCAGATACATCATTGTTTGAGTCCACAGTGCTCTCTGGATGTAGGTGAACTACAACTCCAAAACTCAAGGTCAGTGCCCACCAAACCCTTCCAGTATTTTCTCTTGTTCATGGGAGTTATGTGTGCCAAGTTTGGTTCAATTTCATCATTGGTGGAGCCCAGAATGCTCTTTGATTGTAGGTGAACTATAAATCCCAGCAACTACAACTCCCAAATGACAAAATCAATCCCCCACCCCAACCCAACCAGTATTCAAATTTGGGCATGTTGGGTATGTGTGCCAAATTTGGTCCAGTGAATGAAAATACATCCTGCATATCAAATATTCATATGATGCTAGCAGATCATTCTAAAAATATAACACTAAAGGTTGCCACATTTGCAATCGCAGCCCAAAAGATCAGAGCCAAAGTAGCAAAATCCATACTGGGGGTCAGAAATGGAAACGGTTTGGAATGACACAAAGCAGACACTGTTATTGTCATGTTTCTGCTTTCATAATTTTAAAGAACTTGTTTTAGTTTTAATTCTTGTTACGTTTTAAGGTTTATATTGGAAAGTGTTTATAAAGTTAGTATTTTAATGATGTCATGGCCTATGGCTAGTACAATAAACCATTCATTCATTCATATGATGATACATAACAGTTGCAAAATTACAGTTATGAAGTAGCAATGGAAATAATGTTATGGTTGGGGGCCACCACAACATGAAGAACTGTATTACGGTTTTGCAGCATTAGGAAGGTTGAGAAACACTGTTGTAATATGTTGTCTCTTTCTATTTTTTCCAGAAAAACATATCAATTGGAGGTGGCAGAAGAATTTGTCCCGCTAACCAGCAGAAATCCAGATCGGCTCTTTAGCTTCTTAACACTGTGTTATTTTGTTATACTCTTGAGTCACAATGAATTTCCTACGAAGACGCCTTTCAGACAGTAGTTTTGTGGCCAATTTGCCAAATGGTTATATGATGGACCTTCAACGTCCAGATAATTCTACCAGCAACCCTGTTTCCCCAGCAACAGAGAGAAGGCAGCAGCCTCTGCAGCAACCCACTCCTCCTTCTTCTGGTACCAGCATCTTTAGTTCCCTCTCCAGTGCCATGAAGCAGACCACACAGGCAGCGGCAGGACTGATGGAGCACTCCACTGGCCCTGCCCCTGTCGTCCAACCAAAACCCCAGATTCTCTTGGTCATTGATGATCCCCACACAGATTGGTAAGTATTCACACTTTACTGTTTTAGTATTAGTGTCTCTGGTGGATTTTAAACTGGAATCATTAATGCTTTGGGAATACATATTTTTACATATACTTGTATACATATAAAGTATATATACTTTATATATATACTTGTGAACTATGTGATCCACAATCTCCAAAAGTACTAAAAACAATACCTATTTTTTAAACATCCAAATTTAAAATAAGAGGAGCAGTTAAGGAAGAACGAAATATCACTTGTTTCACACGACTGTGTCACTGTGAAATGAAAATTCACACCATAATTATAAATTTGACATGTTTCAGAGGAGCTGAGCACACATAATGGAGTGTAAGGTTTTATTTATAACTTGAATAGAAATCCATTCCCTTTGAAAAATACCTTCTATTTGGAAATTGCAGTCTGGTCAGATTTTGAAAGTTTCTTTCAATTCTGTTTTTCTTTTTACATGTTGTCTATAGTTCAATGCTTGACAGTATGGCTTGTAATTTTATGTTTGCATACATTTGAATACACACACACACACACACACATGCATATACACACACATACATACACACACAAGCAGGCTGAAGGTGCCAGCCCTGCAGAGACTATGATGACTGTGGTGATAGTCCACTTTTTCCCCAGTTTTGCAACTCAAGACAAACTAAAATTTATTAAAGCCAGAAGAGATTAAGAGCCATGCAAAAACATCAGCATGTTTTTTTTATTTGAAAAGTGTACATTATATGGCATGAAACTTATTTGCAATGGTCTTTATTGTGCTTAGAAAGCACTGTACTCATGATGGAGGTTTTTAGACATCTTGTATAATAAACTTCACTCTGGGATCCATGCCTATTTTTCTTGTACAGGTTGATTGTCCCTCATCCATGTTTGGGACAGTAGGTGTTTGGGATTTTGGATTATTTATTTTTTAATTTTTTAATGCCTACATTTGTTTCAATGTATATTATGGGATATCTGAATATGGGACCCAAATCTAAACATGTAATTAATTTATGCCTCTATATACTTTATACATAGAGCCTGAATGTAAATTTACATTAAACATTTTAATGTAGTCCATGAAACAAAGACTGTTTACACTGAACCACTAGGAAGCAAAGGTATTATATTTCCAGCCTCTCACGTGGATTTTGAATTTTGGCATATTTTAGGTTCCAGATTATTGGACAAGGGATTCTGGTGCAGGTTTTTTGTTTGTTTGTTTGTTTTGTTTTTTGCCTCATGTAATAACATGAGAAAACACTAGGTGTCAGCATTGTCAAGGCATTCTAAAGAAGGTGTGCACAATTCCTGCCATTGGCACAGAATTCGAATTTGGGGTGGGTGGGGTTTTACAATATTTCAGGAACACTGTAATATTGCATTCAAACAAAGATAAATGCCTTAGCCCACTTTCTCTGTTTTCACCAATTTTTATCCCTATTGCTATCTATGGAGAATGTAGTGCTCAGTCTTTATGCTGTTCTGTGCCAGTCCCGAAGAAACTAAAAAAAGACACCCTCCAGCTCTAGCTCTGTACTTTAAAAGTATGCATTCTATGTAAGATTTCCCTTATGATCGCTTTCATTGCCTTTCTCCAGTGTGCAATATGTACATTTGAATAGTTTAATGCACCCAAGAGAACAGTGTTTTGACCTACAAATGACTACACCAGAAACTGGTATGGTGATCAATCACAGCCCTGCCTATGTTTGGATACCACGTTGTGTGATTCTCAGTCCAGCAGGACACATGACCAGATTTTTTTTGTTGAAGGCATCAACAGAGGTGCAGGATGATACCTACCCCCTCCCCTCAACCCCCAAAATAACCTCTAGAAATAAAATAAAACTTACTGGACTGCCATTACCTCCTTCCTTGTGCTCTCCTGATGCAAGAAAATGACACTCCAGGAGATGGGAGGGCAGAGGACAAATTTTCCTCCCCCCCCCCCATCTCCTGGCATGTCATTTCCTTGCACCAGAAGAGCGCAAGGAGGGATGTAAGTTTTATTTTATTTCTAGGGATTATTTTGGGGGGCTTTGGGGTGATAGTTATTGTGATGGCATGTAGATGCCCCCCCCTGAAAGCCTGGGTTTTTCGGGTGGCATGGGGACTTAAACCCTACACCAAAGCAGGTTTCTTAAACCCACTTCAGTGCGTGTTTGAGCCCTGTCTGGAAGCGCCCTTTTTTCTTTCTCATCCGTAAGACCAGTAATTTCTATCAGGTATTGAGTCCCCTTCAGAGTTGAGAAAGGTAGAATACAAGTATGGTAAATTTAAATGACTACATCCATCTGTTTGTTGATCCTACAGCATGACAAATTCTCCATGCTTAGTGATGTTTCCTATTTATGCTTTTCCCATGTTGTAACCCATTGATTATAAAGCAAGTTTTTTTCCTGAAAGGCAAGTGCATTTCAAAAGCAAGAATGAGGTACAACACTAAAGGGCTGCTCTTCCATAAAAGTCAAAATTCTCATTGGATCCCTGAGTTTGAACTTTGTTGTTGTTGTTCATTCGTTCAGTCGTCTCCGACTCTTCGTGACCTCATGGACCAGCCCACGCCAGAGCTCCCTGTCGGCCGTCACCACCCCCAGCTCTCAAGGTCAGTCCAGTCACTTCAAGGATGCCATCCATCCATCTTGCCCTTGGTCGGCCCCTCTTCCTTTTTCCTTCCATTTTCCCCAGCAACATTGTCTTCTCTAAGCTTTCCTTTCTTCTCATGATGTGGCCAAAGTACTTCAACTTTGTCTCTAGTATCCTTCCCTCCAATGAGCAGTCGGGCTTTGTTTCCTGGAGGATGGACTGGTTGGATCTTCTCGCAGTCCAAGGAACTCTCAAAACTTTCCTCCAACACCACAGTTCAAAAGCATCTATCTTCCTTCGCTCAGCCTTCCCTATGGTCCAGCTCTCACATCCATAGGTGACTACAGGGAATACCATGGATTTGACTAGGCGGATCTTTGTTGCCAGTCTGATGTCTCTACTCTTTACTATTTTATCGAGACTGGACATTGCTCTCCTCCCAAGAAGTAAGCGTCTTCTGATTTCCTGGCTACAGTCTGCATCTGCAGTAATCTTTGCACCTAGAAATACAAAGTCTGTCACGGCCTCCACGGTTTCTCCCTCTATTTTCCAGTTGTCAATCATTCTTGTTGCCATAATTTTGGTTTTTTTGACGTTTAGCTGCAACCCGGCTTTTGCGCTTTCTTCTTTCACCTTGATTAGAAGGCTCCTCAGCTCCTCCTCGCTTTCGGCCATCAGAGTGGTGTCATCTGCATATCTAAGGTTGTTAATGTTTCTTCCAGCAATTTTCACCCCAGCTTGCATTCATCAAGCCCCGCACATCGCATGATGTGTTCTGCATACAAGTTAAAAAGGTTGGGTGAGAGTATGCAGCCTTGCCGTACGCCTTTCCCAATCTTGAACCAGTCTGTTGTTCCGTGGTCAGTTCTTACTGTTGCTATTTGGTCCTTGTACAGATTCCTCAGGAGAGAGACAAGGTGGCTTGGTATGCCCATCCCACCAAGAACTTGCCACAATTTATTATGATCCACACAGTCAAAGGCTTTAGAGAAGTCAAAGCAGAAGTAGATGTTTTACTGAAACTCCCTGCCTTTCTCCATTCTCCAGCATCGGGATATTGGCAATCTGGTCTCTCATTCCTCTGCCTTTTCTAAACCCAGCTTGAACATCTGGCAGCTCTCGTTCCATGTATTGCTGGATTCTTCCTTGCAGGATCTTGAGCATTAACTTCCTGGCATGAGAAATAAGGGCCACTGTACGGAAGTTTGAGCAGTCTTTCGCATTTCCCTTTTTTGGTATGGGGATATAAGTTGATTTTTTCCAGTCTGATGGCCATTCTTGTGTTTTCCATATTTGCTGGCAAATGGCATGCATCACCTTGACAGCATCATCTTTTAAGATTTTAAACAGTTCAGCTGGGATCCTGTCATCTCCTGCTGCCTTGTTGTTAGCAATGCTTCTTAAGGCCCATTCCACCTCACTCCTCAGGATGTCTGGTTCTAATTCATTCACCACACCGTCAAAACTATCCTCAATATTATTATCCTTCCTATACAGATCTTCTGTATAGTCTCGCCACCTTCTCTTGATCTCTTCAGCTTCTGTTAGGTCCCTGCCATCTTTGTTTCTTATCATACCAATTTTTGCCGAAATTTACCTCCAATGTTTCTAATTTTCTGGAAGAGGTCTCTTGTCCTTCCTATTCTGTTGTCTTCTTCCACTTCCATGCATTGCTTATTTAAAAATAGTTCCTTATCTCTTCTGGCTAACCTCTGGAATTGCGCATTTAACTGGGCATATCTCCCCTTATCCCTGTTTCCTTTTGCTTTCCTCCTTTCTTTGGCTACTTCCAGTGTCTCAGCAGACAACCATTTTGCCTTCTTGGTTTTCTTTTTCTTTGGGACGTACTTTGTTTGAACTTACTGGCATTCTTTGTTTCAAAGATAATTTCTGTTATCAGTTTGCTCAGAAATAACATCGCCTTGAGCAAGAGACCTTGTAGTCCTTAAACAAATAATAATTTCAGGATGGTTTTGAGATCATTATGAACTGCTTCTCTCTGCCCCTTGATGATTCTCCAAGACACAAAAAGTAGTAAACTTTTACTGTGACCATGTATCAGTCAGAGAATGAGAGAAGCACATGCTTTTCCGGCCAGGAGAATGTGTGCTTTTTTTTGGTGCAGACAGAATTTTACATTTTCCTGCTGTGACAAACAGATGTTTGCTTATTGAAGCTGTAGTGTATACAATCTGCATGTGCTGTTGGTTTGGCAAATAGAGCAGATGGCCTGAATTTTCCGTTCTCGTCTTTTCCCCTAAAAACTAGCTCACATTTTTTTAAAAACGATCTAACTGATGCTACACTAAATTCCTTATTTTTATCCTTTTGGGCATTTTTGAATCCATTTTAGTTTTCTGAGAACACCTATGTAGGATTCCACTCCAAAAAGAAAGGGGCAGAGTATGAGAAGA